ACACCCAGGTGGGCTTAGCAGTCACTCAAGTAGGCTGGCCGTTGCAGGAAGCAGGGTACAAAATACCTCAGGGTGTGGCCCAACGCTAGACCAAGTTGTCCCAAGGGCTGAGTGCCCTGCAGGCGCCACCAAAGTGGCCCCCTAGAGGCTCTGCCTCTGCCCCAGCCGGCCGCTGGCTTAGCTGGTGGGAGTGCTGGGCCATTTCCTCTCCAGCTCACGGCAGCAGCAGGGATGGCATAGACGTGTGTGGGCACAGACACAGAGGGGCAGCCCGGGGCAGGACCACGAGCCTGGAGGGAAGATTCGCCTCCTTCGTCTGTGACACGCAAATCGCCGGCGCTGAGACGACGTCTGTCGATTTGCTTCCCAGCCCCACCTGCCACCTTATGCCAGAAAGGACTTGGAGCAACCTGCAAGATGCACACGGTACACCAGGGCGAGACGAGTCACAGCCAGGAACAGGCTGGGGGGCAGAGAAGGCAGGGAGGGGAGGGGACGTGGAGCGTAGTGGGGTGCAAGCTGCGGCGGGCAACCGGTGACGTCCAGCACGCGGCCGGGGAGCTGCAGACGTGGCGGTCGTCGGGAAAGGACAACGCGATCTGTCACGGCGGTTGAGAGGAGAAAAAGACACAGAGATAAACCAAAGTGTTATTTCTAACACTAACACCAAAGAGAAATTCTCGCCCAAAGTCCTCACGGAGAGCACGTGGTGTAGGCCGTGGACACCCTCCCCGGGGTCTTACTGTGGCCACAGCCTGCTGCTCCCTCTTGCCAAGGTGGGCGGGGGCTGGGCAGGAGAGAAGGAGCCGCTGCGAGTGGTCCATGTGTCGGGCTCTCTGCTGTCTGCAGGGCAGATCAGACGTGGTGGAGAGCTGGAGGTTTTGCACAGCTCCCGGCAGTCCTCAACCCCCGCCCCGTCCCCCCGTGCTGTCAGTGGCATTCTGCCAGGTGTACCTAGTCCCGAGGCAGGTCCCCTGACACCTCCCCTTGCTGACACCTCAGTCTGTACTCGTAGGTGAAACTCATCTGGCCTTAAACGCATCAGCTGTGAAGAGAAGTGACAGGTGCTTTTCTGGCAGGAACCAGGGGAAGACGACTCTTGAGGGCCTCCAACGCCATGTCCCCAGACGCCAAGCAGCCATTGACTGGTTGGGGCAGATCTGTGTGTCACACCCCAGGTACAGCCGCAGGGGCAAAGCACGGGTCCCAAACACTGAGCCATGTCACTTTAGAGGGACTCTGTCTAGCACATTCTCCAGTTTGGGACCACGGTACCTTTGCATTTGCTGCCGGGGCCACTCCCCTGGTTACCCCCGAGACCTCAGGGATGCGCTGGGCCAGTTCCCGGCAGCCCCTCCCCCACACAATCAGGGGCAGTGCACCAGAGCTCCCTATTATGGTGAACTCTGTATTTTATTTTCTCTGAGTTCCTACTTGGCTAGAGTGAAAGAAATGAGTTTTCTTGACAGCCCAGATTCATGAGGTTTCATTTTTCTTCGCAGAAAAGCCACCATTCGTAGTGTCCTGGAACAGATAAAGAAGAGTTGGATAGAGACCCTAAACGTGGCTTATCCGACAGGTGAATTTCCCGGGGACAAACCCTGTCATAGCTGCGTTTGCCAGCAGAGGGCGAAACATGGCCACCTGGAGGGACAGAGCTGGCGCCGCCTCCAGGGTTCTTTCCTCGGACCAGCCGGTGACAGTCCCAGCTCCCAGCTCAACTGGCTTTCCCTAATGTACCCGCAACCCCTGAAGACACGGCCCTACCTGAGGAGGCAGGAAAGGCTGTTCTGGGGGCCTCAGACATGGAGTGTCCCCATCCCCTGGAGAGCCAGCCCAGCCTGCAGGTGTCCCCTGGAAGACTCCAGAAAATATGCTCCAGAGAAACTCCAGGGAATGAGACAGAGCCAGGAAGACACCCCTACCCGCCTCCCACCCTGTCCCAACATCCCGAAGGCCTCCCTGCAGCATTCCGGACCCTCCACGGGGTCTTGCAGTAGAGTTGCCAGAGGAAATACAAGATGCCCAACTACATTTGGATTTGAGATAAAGAACTTTCTTTTTTGAGCATGTCTGCACCAAATATTGCATGCTTATATTTTTAAAAAGCATTTTTGTTTATTTGAAAATTCAAATTTAACTGGATATCTTGTATTTTTTATTTACTAAGTCTGTACCATCCAGTTCTAGAATATTCGAGCCCAGTGCAGACCGAAAGCAGGGTTCCTTCTCCCTTCCCCCAGCCCCTTCTCCCCAGGCGTGGGGTGTGGCGGCCATGGGAGGCCTGCTCCAAGCTGAATCCCTCCCTTCAGAAAGGGCGAGAAATCGCGGCTGCTCTGGGCCTCTGCCACCCAGCGGCCCTAACGCGCTCCCTGTCGTCTGGAAGGGCGGTCCACAGAACATTTTCCTTTCCTCCTCTACGGTCCTTTCGGTAAAGCAGGCAGCCTGTGCTTAGCAGAGAAGGAACAGACATGGAGGTTCCACCTGGGGCAGGGCTCCCACCAACGGACAGACCCGGAGGCATGGCGGGCACCTCCCGATGTCACAGCTGGAAAGTGGGGGGCCTGGGCCCAGAGTTTCCTGCCCCCACCCAAGCACTGAGACCAGGATACCCTCAGAGAGCACGGCCGTGTGCGGGTACTCCACCAGCCCTCAAAGGAGACGGCCGGACAGGCCTGCAGAGCAGCCCCCGCCGGCGGGACACCTGGGCCGGTCGGCGCAGCCCGGGCGACAGCCTCAGCGGCAGCCTCGCTTTCCTGTGCAGCCGCTGCAGCGTGTAGGATGCTGATAACGGGAACAATGCGGCAGAGGAAAAGTGGCAGGAGCGGGACAATGAGCCGGTGGCGGGGACTCTCCCAGGCCGGCGGGGGTGAGGAAGGATCTGCAGGTCCCAAGGGCCAGGCTGGAGCCGCGCTGCAGAGGGTGGTTGGGGGCCCCGTGCTCCACTCCCTGCCCCTCCTCGGGCGGCGTCCTCTCTGCGGGGGGGGGGGGGCAGGTGCAGACGGGGAGCCGTGCACCCAAGAAGGGCCCTTCCAGCCTCCCGTGCACGGGAGGGCAAGGGTCACATGTCAGAGCAAGGAGCCTGCAGCTCCAGGACAGCCAAGCCCTGAGCCCAGGGGGCCGAGGGACGTCGACCTCTGCCGCCCCCCTGTCCCGCCAACGCCCCCAGGAGGATTCTTCACCCCCAGCCTGTGAGAACAGCTGTGTCGCCGCCCAACACCCAGGTGGGCTTAGCAGTCACTCAAGTAGGCTGGCCGTTGCAGGAAGCAGGGTACAAAATACCTCAGGGTGTGGCCCAACGCTAGACCAAGTTGTCCCAAGGGCTGAGTGCCCTGCAGGCGCCACCAAAGTGGCCCCCTAGAGACTCTGCCTCTGCCCCAGCCGGCCGCTGGCTTAGCTGGTGGGAGTGCTGGGCCATTTCCTCTCCGGCTCACAGCAGCAGCAGGGATGGCATAGACGTGTGGGCACAGACACAGAGGGGCAGCCCGGGGCAGGACCACGAGCCTGGAGGGAAGATTCGCCTCCTTCGTCTGTGACACGCAAATCGCCGGCGCTGAGACGACGTCTGTCGATTTGCTTCCCAGCCCCACCTGCCACCTTATGCCAGAAAGGACTTGGAGCAACCTGCAAGATGCACACGGTACACAGGGTGAGACGAGTCACAGCCAGGAACAGGCTGGGGGGCAGAGAAGGCAGGGAGGGGAGGGGACGTGGAGCGGAGTGGGGTGCAAGCTGCGGCGGGCAACCGGTGACGTCCAGCATGCGGCCGGGGAGCTGCAGACGTGGCGGTCGTCGGGAAAGGACAACGCGATCTGTCACGGCGGTTGAGAGGAGAAAAAGACACAGAGATAAACCAAAGTGTTATTTCTAACACTAACACCAAAGAGAAATTCTCGCCCAAAGTCCTCACGGAGAGCACGTGGTGTAGGCCGTGGACACCCTCCCCGGGGTCTTACTGTGGCCACAGCCTGCTGCTCCCTCTTGCCAAGGTGGGCGGGGGCTGGGCAGGAGAGAAGGAGCCGCTGCGAGTGGTCCATGTGTCGGGCTCTCTGCTGTCTGCAGGGCAGATCAGACGTGGTGGAGAGCTGGAGGTTTTGCACAGCTCCCGGCAGTCCTCAACCCCCGCCCCGTCCCCCCGTGCTGTCAGTGGCATTCTGCCAGGTGTACCTAGTCCCGAGGCAGGTCCCCTGACACCTCCCCTTGCTGACACCTCAGTCTGTACTCGTAGGTGAAACTCATCTGGCCTTAAACGCATCAGCTGTGAAGAGAAGTGACAGGTGCTTTTCTGGCAGGAACCAGGGGAAGACGACTCTTGAGGGCCTCCAACGCCATGTCCCCAGACGCCAAGCAGCCATTGACTGGTTGGGGCAGATCTGTGTGTCACACCCCAGGTACAGCCGCAGGGGCAAAGCACGGGTCCCAAACACTGAGCCATGTCACTTTAGAGGGACTCTGTCTAGCACATTCTCCAGTTTGGGACCACGGTACCTTTGCATTTGCTGCCGGGGCCACTCCCCTGGTTACCCCCGAGACCTCAGGGATGCGCTGGGCCAGTTCCCAGCAGCCCCTCCCCCACACAATCAGGGGCAGTGCACCAGAGCTCCCTATTATGGGCTGTTTTGTCAGCACTTGGCAAGCAATCAACAGAGGTGACACCAATTACTTGTGTCACAGCTTCTGGCGAAGACGGAGATGTATGAAGTCCAGCTTGGGAGCCATCCATCAGGGCCCGAGAGGGGGTCGAGGGTCCGTCGCGGTGACGGGGAATTGAGGGAAGCTGGAGTATCTCGGGACAGCGGGCTGGCCAAGTGTTTTGTACCATCAGAACTGACGCTGCAGCAGGGCTGTGGCCCAGCGTGGGGCAGCCGGGCACAGGCCACAGTGCTAGCCCGGCCACCACGCCTGGGCGCCGGGACCCTTCTGGTCTCCCAGACCTCTGTGCCGCGGACAAGCTGCTCCCCACCCCGGAATCCCCCAGCCCGGCTCCCACCTCCTCCTGCCAAAGCCCTCCTGGTTCTTCGAGGTCTCGAGCACACCTCATCTCTTCCCAAAACGCTCCACCCGACCGAATGCGAATCCTCACCCCACCCCCGGCTGAACTCCAGCAGCAGCTGATACCTCTGAAGCCAAGTAATCTTCAACTGTCACAATAACTAACTTATTGCATATTTACGATGCCGTGTACCCATCACACCATCGAATTCCCACGACCACTTAGGTGGGTGGGGGCCCAATGGGCGCACTGTGAACTGAGTGGCAGAGACATTGGTATCTCGCCCAGACCACACTGCTGGGCAGCAGAGCGTGGCAGGAGGCACTGTAGGTACAGAAGGGGGCATGGCAGCGGGGCCACCAGCTGGGCCGTCAAGACTGCTGATGTGCCGTTGGGGACCCTGGTCCAGATAGAGGCTCGCTGCAGGAAATGGAGTGCCTGGATGATCCATCCGGTCCTGGAAGTGCCACCAGCCTCAGGAGGATGCTGGGCTTTCAGGGGCACCTGCTGGGGAGAGAGACGCTCTCAGAACCGCCCGTCCCGCCTCTGCTGTTGGCTCTCATGACACGGTCCTCCTCAGCTTCTCTCTGCAAGGGGCCTTTCCCTGCAGGATTTCCCCACTCCTCCCTCCATCCTTCCATTCCAGTCTCCTCGTCCAACACATGGGCACGGCAGGCCTGTCTTGCCTCCTCCCTGGTCACTGAGGGCCGCAGGAGACCAGGCTGGGCTTTGTGAAACGTGCGGAAGCTCACACGTGAGGTGCGGTCCGGTGGACGCGTGACCCGTCTTTGCGGAGTCGGAGACGGGGAGGGGAACAGAGCCCTGAGCCGTGGGGAGGTCCATGCCTTAGCCAAGGCTGGAAAAGGCCGGGGCTGAGGGATTCCAGGCTCCAAGCCAAGACTGCCCGGGGGGCGTCCCAGACCCCCAGCCCGCGGCTCTGGCTCTGCTCCGGCGAGTACAGTGGGAACTTCAGGGGTGACTCAGCCCCACATTTCAGAGGCGGAGGGACTTTAGGAATGTCGTAGATAAGGAAACAGGCCCAGAAGAGTGAAGGAGCTGGTTGCAGGCCATCCAGCTTATTGCAAAAGAGCCGACACGAGAACCCCCCTCCCCAGGCAGCCGGGAGAGCCTCCCTAGAGTGGTCCCCTAAGGGGTCTCCGCGGAAGGCAAGGATTAGCGAGCACAGAATTCTTATTCTGCCTTCGCCTGGATCCCTCACCCAAGAACCCTCTTATTGCAGCGATGTTAGAAGCGGTTCAAAGCGCACGTGCTTTAAAGAGTTAGTTCATGAAGCACGGCGTGGGACCGCTGCAAAGGGCCGCAGAGGGTTGCAAAGGACTGTGCTTCGCAGCTGAGAAAGTCACGGCCAAGTGGGTGTGACTCGGTCAAAGTCTCACCCCCTGTGCTGGAGAGGAGACTCCTGTGCAACCCGCTGGTTCTCCTCTTGCCTTGTCACTGTGTCCTCATGCTGCCCCCGTCACAGGCCGAGTCACCTGCACACAGGTCTGCCGGCCAGCCCGGCCCATGCTCTGACAGCCGTCTCCCCGATTCTCCCTCCTCTTCCTCCGGCCCTTCATTCGCCTGACACCGCAGGTTCCCTCACTGCTAAAGCACACCCGGTGCCCCCAGATCTGGGGAGCCAGGCCCCGGGCTCCTGCTGGCACCTGCTGTCCCCCGGACTGAGGGCGCGCCAGGTGGGGATTGGAAAACGCAGCAATCAGCACTTATCTTATTTAATGTGACCCTGTTGCGTTAATTAATTAAACCTCCTTGGTCACAGAGAGAGAGGCCACAGAGTTATTCCTCCTTAGAGCCGGGGCAAGGGGACGTGGCTGTCAGCTCCATCCCATCCGTGGGAAGGAAAAGTGGAAGCAGAGCCGGAGTCCCAGGAAAGGGAGCGGGCGCCTCCCCTCCCCGTCCCTCGGCTGCCGCCACCACCTGGACAAGCCCCGCCGGGAAACCTGAAAGGGCTTCCGTCCCCATCCTCCCCAGCTCAGCACCTGCGGGGAGGGGCTTCGGAGCTGCAGCAGAACACTCTAGAAAGGGGGAGAAGAAAGAGCAGCTGAGAAAATGCGAACAGCTCAGGCAGCGGCGTAACGGGAAGATTTCAGCGTGATGTATGGTGCCGGGAACGTTATTAATGGTTTGCTGATTTTTACCTTTAAAACCTCTGGGCAGATTATTTATTATGTCGTTGGCGTGCCTATGATCTATGGAGGGGCACTAATCTCCGAGCACAGCCCCCCCACACCCGTGTCCCTGCGCCGCGACAGCGTCTAATTAGGCCGGGACGCTGCCCTCCCTGCCCAGGCTCCATGTCCACCCCCGAGCGGGGACGCGGCCGGGATCTGAGGCTTGTGCGCTCCGACCCGTGGAGCCTGTGAATCAGGGAACCCATTCCTAGGCCTGGCTCTGCGTGGACTGCTGTGTGACCGTGGGCAGGGACACAACCTCTCTGGGCCTCTGCCCTCTTATCTCTCAAATAAGGGTGCTGGACTACATAAGCTCCAATAACTCAGAGATAAAACAGGCTAGAGCTAAGGTGTAGCAGGTGTGTGGCCCTCCTGGTGTGACAGTCCTGTGCGCCTGTGACACGGAGAATCAGGATATGGCAGCAGGGCCCAGGGGCTCACTGTTACCAGCCCTAGAAGCCGAGTGTTTGGTGTGAGGGAGGATGTCCTCCTTTCTCACCTGGTTCCTGTGTCATGCCTGCCAGGCACAGGGTGGGCCTCTCGAGTCCCTGGCCCCAGAGCCGGGGAGGGGAGGCTGAGTCCTCCAAGGACGTGGGCTC